TTTATGCAATGTATCATCGTTTCTCATCTTCTGGTGATTCAAAAGGGATTTGGAGTTCAATACACATTTTCAGAATTACTGATTCAGTTGGCATTCGTCCGGTTCGGTTCACTTGAGCTAGTTTTTAGTTGTAGCCCTTCATTTTCTCACTGAGACGGTTTTCAATATCAATTATACGTTTACGTCAAACTCTTCGCAACTATTTCGGCACAGCATGAGAAAGAACATTTTGAAGAAAGTGACACATTTGATATCGAACGAGGATCATTATATTTCAGTTTTAAACACATTGCTAACCCTGGCCACAACTGATGCATTATCAGCGCCAAGGCCAACAAGGCTCAGTAAATCATGCCTGCAAGATATTTTTCAGCGACTCGCATATGGCCTCAAGAATCTATTCACAAACTTTAACGAGTTCCAAGAATGTAATCAATATTTGCATTTCTCTCTCTCTCTCTCTCTCTCTCTCTCTCTCTCTCTCTCTCTCTCTCTCTCTCTCTCTCTCTCTCTCTCTCTCTCTCTCTCTCTTCTCTCTCTTTCTCTCTCTCTCTCTCTCTCTCTCTCTCTCTCTCTCTCTCTCTCTCTCTCTCTCTCTCTCTCTCTCTCTCTCTCTCTCTCTCTCTCTCTCTCTCTCTCTCTCTCTCTCTCTCTCTCTCTCTCTCTCTCTCTCTCTCTCTCTCTCTCTCTCTCTCTCTCTCTCTCTCTCTCTCTCTCACACACACACACACACACACACACAATTGTGCCTTATGGTTACACCCAAATGTTTGGTACAGGTATCTCATGACTCATTTATTAGTGAACTGCATCATGGTTGTACATATTGACTATTTGAATTTCAATTTTTTACACCGTTTGTTTGTCAGTGCACTCACTCAAAGCAAAAGCAATGAATAATGATATAGTGCCATTTATCTTACGAACGTTTTTTTCTGAAGTTTGAGCTGCCTGTGTTAAGTGAGTGGTTCCTCGGCTTTTTTCACTTGATTGTGTTTCTGTGCCTGTCAGTGTCACTCAATTTGGCTGCCAAGGAAATCTTAGAATGTCTGCAGATGCATTTTGTATCGTCGCCATTTGACTCAATTAGCTTTTGATGTTACGAAACGCTGCAGATATTTCTAATTGTGAATTACATGTAAGTTACACATGACGTTCTTGATCTACAAATATCACATGCGACCTCGGATAAAGACCACCTGTAATCGTTAATTAAGTAGGATTTGTTTGCAGTGCGGAAACATGACAGACCGCTGCCACGTTGAAGACCAGGGCAAGAAAATTAATTATTTGTGCAGCTATGTATTTTTCAAATGATTTTATATACAAAGTACCTTTTCAACAAAATATAAAAATATTCAAGTTGGTATTCAAAATTGTATAATGGAGCTAATAGCGCCAGACCCCGCTCAATCTAGCGTGCTCTGGCGTTGGCAACACCATTCGACAAGTAAAATTATCATTATTATCATTAATGCTCTTGTTGTCTCCGTTGCTGTTAGTATTATCATTATTGTTATATTCAATAGTGATAGTAGTAAAAATAAGAATACTATTATCATCATGATCGTTATTATTATTGTCGTCATTATTTTAGTAGTAGAAGTGCTGGTGTAGTGGTTTAGTTGATAACAAAATCGTTATTAGTGTCATTACTATTATGATTTATATCACTGCTAGTGTCACTATAATTGCTATTACCAATATTTTATTGTTATTATTGCTGCTAGTATTATTACTACTGATTTTATCATGATCATTGTACTCATTGTTATTATTGTTGGTAGCATTTTTGCTGTTATTTTTATCATTATCACTATTATGATATTTGTTAGTTACTATTGTCATCAATATCGTTATTACTATCAATATTGTTTATCAGTACTATTACTAGAAGTAGTAGTAGTGGTGGTGGCAGTTATAATTATCATTATTATTATTATTATTATTATTTCATTATTTTAATCATCACTGTTATCATTATTATCGTTGTTGTTATTGTTATTATAATTACGATAATGATGATGATGAAAATAATCATCATCATCATCAGCAGCAGCATTTTTATTGCATTACTACTGCTACCATTACTATTAATATCATTATCATTATCTTTATTAGCAGTAGTAGTCGTATTGTTGTTGTTGTTGGTAATGGTCGTGCTATTAACACCATATATACATATATATGTTATCATTATTGTTATTATTATTTTCAATATTAGTAGCAGAATAGTAGTATCATCATTATTACTATTATTCTTGTTAGTATCATCATTTTCTTTCATTTATATCATTTTCATTTTCATCATTATTATAAGTATCATTAATATTGTCATTTTCATGATTTTTATCATTATTTTTATAATTGTTATTATTATCATTATTATTGTCATCATCATCATCAACATTATTATAATCATCCTTTTTATTGTCCTCTTTACCATTATTATCAAAATCATTATTATTGTTCTCTGGTTGTCATTAATATCTTTACTACCATCATGAAAATCATTGCTACCATTGCTACCATTTTTTCACTTCCACTTTCATCGTCAGTTTGCTTTCAATTATTTTCATTTATTCATATATATTTTTTTGTCATTTTGTCTTTAATTATTTTCATTCATTTTTTATTTGTTTTTGTTTTATTAGACGAGAAGGGAAATTCCTGTACAAGAAAAACTGTGAGATCTAGATGAAAGGGTCTATCTCTGCATCGTACAAACGGTGGATATGAGTCTAGAATTATCTTATCTCTTACTGAAGGAATGCCTTTGTGTCTCTTTTATTGTCCGAAGCCACAGGTATTCAGGCGGTAAAAGTGTACTCGGGTTGCTGGGCTCGCGAG